TTGGAGGAATTATATGACTTGCCCAAAGTCTTAGCTCTAGAAGAATTCAGATTAGGGATCAACCCAGGTAGCCTTGCTGCAGCACCCACCCCCTGGACCGCAATGGCACCCTGTCCCCCGGGACTCCTCTACCAGTGAACGGGACAGATTCTGGGGACAGAACTGGACAGAGCCTAGGTTCCACACCAGTGAAACCGGTGATGGTTTACCTTCCCAGTTCTGGGAGTTGTGCTCTGTGCTGGGTGAAGGAACAGATGTTTAATAACTTTGCAGTAGCAAGGAGGAGGTTACATAAAATGGCTGAGCTATTTTTGAACTTTGGAAAATGCTGACTGCTCATTTCAATGTGCCTTCTGTAAAACCAGGACTATGAACCACAAAGAGCATTTTCCCCTCTTCCCCCACTTTTTCCTCCTGAAATCCCAGGGGCAGAAACAGGTCCACAGTAAGGATATTGATGCGCCATCCTCGCCATCAGTCTTCTGTGCCAGGTCCAGAGCCTGAGCAGTAAGTCACTGTCACGATACCCTAACTACACCATGCTGTGCGGTGATGACGCGCAATGCCCCCGAGGGCCACCGAGGGACGCGTGCGGCTAGTCCCAGATGTCCTGCCTAGTCAGAGCTGGGCCTCGGGCTCCCCAGCAACTCACCTCATATCACCATAGGTGTGGCTTTACCTGAACCTCTGCTGAAGCTACCTGTATCCTCCCTACCACAGAGTGGGCTCGGGAGAGCTACTTGTTTCCTGGAGGCTTTTTAATCCAACTGAAAATGTTACATTTTTTGATACTGTGTTTATTGTTTTGTTTGTTTGGTTTTTAGTAGAAAAACTGGGGTGCAGGCTAGAGGTGTGGGGGGGGTGAGAGGTTTCACCAGAGACAGAGTGGGGAGTAGAACAGGCAGATCCACTGAAATCCACTGCTGAGGAGACAGGAGAGACAGGAGAGGTCTGCTGCGCCATGTGGGTCAGCTCCTGGCCGGGAACGAACTCAGGCCATTGTGTTGGTAGCGCTGAGACTAACCCCTAGGCCACCAGGGAGGCCCTGTGTTTTCCATTTAGAAGATTCCTCATAGTGAAGATTTCAGTTCCCCCTAAATTGATCTATAGATTCAACATAATTCCAATCAAAATCCCAGAAGGATTTTTTGGGAAGAAATCATTGTTTCTTTGTTTTCTCTCTCTTTTTTATTTTTTAATTTTCTTACATCACTGTTCATTTTTTGTACAGTAATTGGTTTGTCCCCTCAGGTGTAGTCTCCTTAGTTCTCCTGCTACCAGCTCACCCGTGAGCCATCACCACATCCTCTTGCGTTCTTCCCTCCCCTGTTATGACTGATAAAAAGACAGAATAGCATCCTGGATTAGAAACAGAATCCAGCCTCCTGCTGCCTCCAGGAAACACACCTAAGCTCTAAGCTCTAAAGATAAACACAGATTGAAAGTAAAGGATTGAAAACAATGCTACAAGCAAATGGCCCCCAAAAGAAGGCAGGGGCAGCCATACTTACAGTAGATAAAATAGATTTCAAACTAAAAAAGGTGACAAGAGATACCAAAGGACCCTCTATATTGTCAAGGGGACAATGCACCTGAAAATGTTACATTTTTAAAGCTTGAATTGGGAACTGCTAACTCTACAATCCTGAGCTCCCTCGACCAAGTTGGCAGGTCCAACCGAGGCTGCATATACGCCTGTCCTCAGCCTTCAGCTACCCAGGCTGAAGATGCCTTAAATTCAATAACCTAAATGTCCATCGAGGGGGGTGATTAAATTAGAGTCAAAACATTTAGATACACCAGAATATATAACAGCAACCATGATGAGCATGCTGGAATTGTAATGTCTGCACTGATCACTGTGGTTGTGGTAGAAAATGTGAGGCTGAGGCAGAGAAAAGAACTCTGACCTGATCACAGGTTGCACACACATCTACACGGCTGCTGGACACTCCGAGTGGTGCATCATGGTGATTTTCCTGCCCGTGACAGAAGGGGAGCAAGCAGGGCTTGGAGAGGCATAGTGAGGCTCTACATTATCAGTGATGTCTTATTTCTTTTAAAATAAACAAATGTCACGTTTGTTTATTTTGTTTTCTGTGGTGAGTGCTGAGGGGAACTTCACCCGACTGTATTCTCTACTGTTCCTCTTTTCAGGGCTGTCATGCTTCTCTTAGCCTTGGGGATACATTCTGAGAAATGCTCTGTGAGGCGATTGTGATTTTGTGCAAAAGTCCTGGCATACATGACTGTGTCTCTATTACAATTACACAAGCCTAGGTGGCAAGCTGTCGGGACCACCTGCCATCATACCGGTGGTTGATCATTGGCAGAAACGTTGTCAAGCAATGCATGACTTCTAAAAGAGGGTTTCTTGTTATGTGAACTTGACGTTAGACATTTCCCCCATGTGCATCGGACTGTACATTCTTTGAGGAGATAAGTTATATCTTCATCCATCTTTGTGTTCCAGGGGTCATCATGGGACCCAGGAACAGAAGGAATGTTGCACGGAGGACAGAGAGACAAAGTGCCCTTAACCCTTCTTGATCATTTCTCAAGCTCCCGCACCGGCCTTGCCCGGCAAGCTCCCCTTCTTTCATGGGCAGCTGAGGGGACACTGTGGTCATGGGAAGTGTGGCCAGGCCTCTGCTTTGCCCTCATCCAGCCCTACAGCTGGGGTGAGCACCGCCAGTGTCCTAGCGCAGAGGATGAGGGCCGGAAGGGACTGAAATACCTCTGACATCTGCCTTAAAAGCATAACTCCTGGAAAAAGCACAACAGCAGTTAACAGAAATAGGGCTCTTTTTATAAAGGAATGGTCACAAATATCCCTCTCAAATTCCTTCTCCTGTATATATCTCAATTGCCCTAAAATTGAGTTATGCTTCCGTCAAAATCATGCATTTCTGAATATTTCCAGCGCAGGGCACCACACATTATGGGAAGGAAGAATTCATTTGCCCTACCTGTCTTTTGGCTGGCAGCAATCCTGCCTCAGATGAGGCTCCTGGATCTCAGACTGATTAATCAGAGTTGTTTCCTGGTATTTGAATAATTATTTAAAACGCCGAAAATGGCAATGTAGAAGCAGGATCATTAAAGAGGGGAAGAAGAGAGGGGAAGGAGACATTTCCTTCGCCCCCCTGCAAAATGGCCTCTTAATTCAAGAGTTCATTTTTCAGGTACATGTCAGCTTTATAGAGGTACAATCTACCTCCCCTGCCCCTCCTCTACTCGCTCTCTCTCTCACACACACACATACACAGACACACATGCAAAAGTGCAGCCTCAGCTTCAAGATAATTCCTGATTCAAAGAAGTCCTAAAACCTTCCACGGATACCTTAGAACATGTTACCTTGCTGCAATGAAACCAATCTGGTTTGTTGATGGTCATTTCTGATGATCAGAAATTCCCCGCTCGCTCTGATGGCCATGAATTAATTAGTGCTAAGCACCACTTCTCACGCAGCACTCAGTCAACCCTTACCCCCATGACACTGATTCTCAACAAGGGTCCCCAGAGCAGCAACACAACCTCCCCACCCCCACCAGGAACCTATTAAACTTGAAACTTCTCAGAGCCCAGCCCAGCCCCACTGAGTTACAGACTCTGAGCCTCGCTTGGGCCCTGCGAGCCGTCATCACAAGCCCTTTCGGGGACCCTGTTGCTGAAGTTTGAGCCCCACAGCTGGAAAGTCTGGTGCCATCTCTTCACAAAGCACCACGGGAGCCCAGAAAGGTAAGTGACTGCCCAAGTCACAGAGAGAGTGGAAGAGGTGAGATTTGAGCCATCACAGGTCTCACTCCAGAGCCCAATCCCTTAATCACAGTGCCACACTGTCCTTTAGCAGAGGCATTATCAGGCATGGATGAATCCACCGACGGTAGGCAAAAACACGCACAATCTTCGTAAAAGTGGTTGTTCTAAGTCTCAACAGCTGAGCCATGATGATGGACCACGAAGGACAATCATGCTTCTCAGCAACATAAAATTTAACTGAATGTCCACCAAGATGGAGTCGCTAAGTAAATCACAAAGCATCCGTGAGAAGGAATATACCGCAATTTTAAAAGCGATGCTTGCCAAGGTTGCCAATGACCTAAATACTACTTAGGGCATAAAGCAAAATTCAGATGCAAGTCCCAGTAGAGACTAGGGCCTCTGAGTGGAGAGTTCTCCCAAGTGTATCAAGTGGGTGAGGGTATGGGAAGTCACGTGATGTCGCAAACTCTTGGCGTGAACATAAGTCGGTATTACTCTATAGGGTAATTTGGCAATCGATATTTAAATTTTAAAATGCACGTTTTCTATGACCCCAAAATCTACTTCTGAGAATCAACCCCCAGAAAAATACGTGCCCATGTGCTTGAGCTGACATGTAGTGCAATTATCTCTCAGGATGGTTTATCTAATGGAAAAAAATACGAAGCGCTCTAAATTTCTATCATTATGCAGATGGGATAAATAAGTCATGATGTATACCTATTGAGAAATGCAATGTGTAAGTTACCAAGAATGCGATCTTCAATTAGATACACATAGGTATGTGTGTGCGTGCATATGTGCACACAGATATACACATGTCTGCGTATAATTATACAATATCTATCTACCTGTGTAACACATAGATAAGAGTACTATAAATGATATATCTACATACATATATGCGTACATGCCATGCTTGGCAGAGAGAATGGACAGACAGAAAGATACAGAGGTGCTAGGTAGTTGGACAGGGAGACCTCAAGTGTAGGTTCACAAGGCATATTATTGAGTAAAGGAAGTAAGCTGCAGAAAGCAAAACCTGACATTACTTAAAGAGAAAAGGAGATGCCACAAGAGGAAAAGGGACAGGAGAGCAGAATTAAACAAACACACACACGACATTCTCTATTTCCAGGGCCCACTTTTGATGAGTATGTGTTGCTCTCAGCTTCTAAACAAACAACAAACTCCAAGCCCACTCTGGGAAACAAGCAAATGGCCCCTCTTACTGGTGCAGGGTGTGCTGTGGGGTCTCCGGCTTCTCCGTCTGCCCATAGCAGCTGGCCTTGGCCTCGGGGATGTAGGAGAACTTCTCTAACATGGACGCTGCGGCGGTGGTTAGGATGCCCAGGCCGTCCCTCACTCTCGCCTCCAGGCTGTAGTCCCAGTCATCATAGGAGACTGAAATGAGTCCTGATGGAAACTCTTTGGGGATGAGCTCCGTGTTCCCAGACACCAAGCTGGGGACAATCCAGAAGAAATCATACCCGGTGAGGCCAAGGGAGCGGGCCTCGCTCAGAATGAGGACGGCCTCATCTTTGGAACAATAGAGCAAGATGACGGAAGAGTGGATCTTCTTCAACTGGACTTGCGTCTTTGCATCCTCGAAGGACGTATCCAGTGTAATCACATTCTGCATATCCCAGCCCACAAAGCTGTTGTCTACTGTGGTCTTGATGAAGCTGATGAATTCCCGGTAGCCAGGGAAGATGGTGGTCACCAGGGAGAAGACATGCCAGTCATAATCCTGCATGATCTTCAGCATGACCGTGGCTTGTTGCTGGATGGACGCTCCAAACTGGAAGAAGGTGGACGTCGGATCCTGCCAACAGGATAAAAGAAAGCAGAAGAGAGAATGAGGCAGAAGGCCATGTAGATACAAGCATATGTTTTATAGACTTAAAGGAGGTTCTTCTTGGAAGTGAGGGAAAATACATCACACGCTACTCATTTGCAAGCATTCCTGAGCACCTACTATACACCAGATTCTGGAACGGATGTGAGAAATACAGAAATAAAAGAGGTCCCTCAACCTGGAGCCCACAGCTGGGTACAGTGAAGGACATCTGTTATTTCACCAGCCCCTCATCTAGTCTCCTCATTTCCTCTAGTTCATCCCACCCCAACCCCCTTTCAATCCATATGGCTTCAACAGTACAGCTCTATCTGGCACCCAGGCTCATGACTGGAAAAAGAAGCCAAGAGAGTCAAAATAACTTCAGGATATGGAGACAGATTCCCGGTGACATACTTGGAGCACCTGGAGGCTGCCATACATGAAGGCATTCGTTCTGGACCCTTTAGTTATGTAAACCAAAAAGCCCCCCTAACCATTTAAATCAATCTGAGTAGGGTTTCTGTCCCTTGAACTCTAGACTCACGTGTAATATAGAGAAAAATAAATGATAGGCAGACATAGACCTCATCAATCAACAAATAGCGTTTTAAAGCTTGGGTTGATAGTGATATATAAGACAGATTATAAGATAGATACAGACATGGTCTCTGCCTTCATTGATCCAGTGGGAATTTGAGGAAGAAACCTCCATGGACTGGGAGCTGAGAGAGCCAATGTTGAAGGAGAATCCCAGTATTAGAAGGGGTATGGGCAGACATTAGTCAGAGGAGCCCCAAGGATACATCTCCAGGAAGTGGAGATAAATGCATTACGGCTCATGAAGTAGGGGAGAATGAGATGATTTGCAGAGTTCAGCAGGAACCCCATCATGTACAGCCTCGGGGCACTGTTGACAGGCTGAGATTCTATTCTGAGCTGGAAAGTGACATGATCACCTGCATTGGGTTAAAGAACCTCTAAGAGACCCAACATCTCCCCAAGTCCACAAGTCAGCATATGATTATGAGAACAAATTTCCATTCAGAAAGGGCAGGTGTTGCATACAGCAACTGATGGACCATCTTCTCACCTCCCAACTCACCTCTCGATCCTACAGAGATGCGTGTTGTCACGGGCAACTGAGGCTCAAATGGTCATGTAGCTACTGAGCATCTGTCTCGTGCTCTGGGGCTACATCCAGTCCCCTTCCAACACACAACCACAGCCTTCCTGGAGTCATGAAGAGCTTTAGACAGCAGGTGCTTAAACCATGCTGTGGACAGGTCGGCAAGGTGCAAAACTACCAGGTAAACAGGAGGTGTGCCAGGGCCTTATAGCAGAGCAGGATTTGACAAATGCTGAGATCTATTTGTTTTTTTGGGAACGGAAGAAATCCTCAAGGGTCCTTACATGGCAGCCATGCTTTCATTTTGCGTTCTGTATTTACCATGTGCATTTAACACAACTAAAACAGCAAGAAGGTGAAGATTCCTCACGTGTACGCGCGCGCGCGTGTGTGTGTGTGTGTGTGAAGAGTGGGTGATTTCATTCATGGCTTTTGGAGCAATACTTTGCAGTTCTGCATATCAATACCCTCAACAAGCCTACACTTTGCTTTCCCTGTGAGTGCTCACTGAATAAAGTTTTATCTGAATAGCCAAAAGCTATAGTTCCTCAAGATACTTTATTCTAAAATGTATGGGATGTGTGTGTGTGCGTGCGTGCGTGTGTGTGTGTGTGTGTGTGTGTGTGTGTGTGTGTAGGGGAGGAATATGAGTACAATGTGGCCTGCAGGCAGAGGGAAAAACAGGGATAAACGCCTTCTGGGCCCCTTCCAACATTATAGGACTATGAATTTTACCTAATTAAATCAATTAAAGTGGGTAACAGATTTAAAGACTTTGGATCATTATCTTTTTCCCTACAGTAGCTTTTGGAGAAATCCAATATTCTTGGATTGATTAATCATTTTAAATCACATCTCAACAAGGCTGAACTGCTCAAGGGCAGAGATTTTGCTATCCTCATGCCTCGTCCCCACAACCTGGCAGAAGGCTTGGCACGTGACCCACCAGTAAATGGAGGACGAGGGACACACGAGTGAGTGGCTGTGTGACCGCAGTCTAGGAGGAACGACCTTGCCTTGAGCATTAAGTGAAAGGGGGTCAGTCAGCACCTGAGCCTGGATTTCATACAGCTCCTGAATGTCATGTCCAAAAAATAAATAGTTCACACCATCACCCTGCCACCCTGAGGAACCACTTTCCACCCGCTGGCAAAAATACATTTTCACATTATCTTTATTGATAAGGAAGAGACTACAGAGGTCCTCCAATAAACCTCAGTAGCATCCGTAGAGCCTCACTAAACAGCATAAAGGCAACAGCATAAAGAGCCCAGCAACAGAAGCACAAGCTCCAGACAGCAAGTTCATCAGCCTCAAGCACAGTCCATGGCCTTTTGCTGACGTTCCACGGAGCAAAAGACACTTCTGGGGCATCTCAACTGAGCTCACGTCCTGTGGGTAACAGCTGGAACTTTCTGGACCAGAGTTTCTTCACCTAGGAAATGAGAGCCAGCCCACTGGACTGTGGCGAGGAAGGAGCGAACTGAAGGGAATAGGAGGCTCCCCCACTGGTGCCTGACTCCCACTGTGTGGGAGCCTCTCCACATCTTCAGCCCTCTAGGCCCCAGAGTCGTTCTAAAACCTAAGGGGGGTCCTTCTTTCAGGTCGGAAGGGGACACCTCCAGATCTGCTGACCACATTCCCTGTCCCTCCACACGCCTCCCATTTACTCTGAGCCCAAGGAGCGGAGCCGGGGCTGGCGTTCCTCACCGCAATGCACCACGTCTTGAAGAGAAAGCATCGTCGCGTGTTTCAAGGACCTCACACAGTTACCCTACTGCACTTCCCTCTGAGACTTAAACTTCAAAACCCATTATAGGCCAAAGGCACTCTATATCCCTCGGAGGGACGGGAGCGAGAAGTTATTTGCAGAACATAATTGCACAGCAAGGCAAGGAAAAGGCTCACTTTTCACCGTGGGTTTTTCTAAGGTGGTTTTATGGACTGGCAGGAGGTGACGGGGGAATCTGGCCGTGCTCCCAGGGCCCAGTGGCTGAGATGCCAGTGGCCCTTTCTTTCAAGTCCCTGAATGTTCTTCTGTCTTCCTGCATGGACAGCAGAGGCTGCCGTCTCCCGCACTCACCACCTCCTGCCAGCCCTTAGCCTACCCTCTGCGGATGCGACAGATCAGCCTCTGACCACCTTTGGCACTGGCTTCCTCAGCAGTGTGCAGCCGGGGGAGAGGAACAGATTTCAGACACCCACTTTGGTTCTGCAGCAAATGCAAACGCAGTTCTCTCCCCAGGCTCAGTGCTCTGCAGAAGATAGAACAAACTGTTTTAAACACAGAGCGAGGGAGGCAGGGGGTGTGGGAATCTGGGTATCTGCTCTCATCTCTGTAATTCAGTCCCACCATAATAACTGCGATCTCATTAGATTAGGTCTCCTGAGCTAATGTTCTAGAATGTTCCAGAGTTTGCTGAGTCTCCAGGGTGAGACCCGACTCCATGGGTATCAAGGTCTGGTGTTTAATGGAGTCTAATCCCAATTTTCATTTCACTAGCCCATGCACAAGACCATAAAGGACACCCACACCCATTACCTCTGATTCTAACTACCCAAGAGATGAGGTCTTGGAGGTGGTTATAGCCCCCATGGCTGGCGTTTCTCATAAAGACACAGGAAGAGGGGTTAAGTGATTTCTCTAAAATCCATGTGGCCCCAGCTGGCAACAGCTCAGTCACTGCAAGATGCCCTCCAGTGTCCCAGTGTTCCTTTGCACATACCACTGGCTGTCATTCCTGGCTGCACAAGAGAATCACTTAGAGAGTTACAAAAAAATACAGATGCTTGTGCCCATGCCAGTCCAAATGAGACTGAATTCCTATGACCTGAGTATATGAACCCCAAAGCTAATGTATTGTTTTTCTTTGTCTCATTGCAACAGCAAGATGTGTTATTCAAGGGAGTATCTTGAAAGCTTAACACCATGTCTGACATGCAGTAGGGACCTGATAAACATTTGGTGAGGAAATAAATGAGCTAGAAGCTCATCCCCAGGGAGCATGAGAAAACTGGTTGCTGTTGTCAACTCCGAGCCATTTTCCATAGCTTATTTTCCTTTTGTCCACCAGGGTGGGTCCCAATAAAAAGGATAACGATGCAGGTGACCCACAAAGACCAAGAGGGACTCCTTGGCAATTTGCTTTCTCCTATGAGGATCATCATGATACACTTCCTATCACTCTTACAGTGTATCAACTGTCCTTTAAAACATCTTTTATGTTTCAATGGATTAGAGCAAAAAATGTCAAACCTGATAAGCCCTAGAGTTCAGATGGATAGCTTTCTCAAATGCATATGAGCTGAATCTGTCCCACTGAGGAAACTCTATCCCATCCTCCCCCACCCTTCTCCTCCTTTATTGCCATTGTCATCCACCACCATCATCATCCGCTATCATCCACCACCACCACCACCACCATCATCCACCATCATCATATGTGCCACCCATGATCATAATCATTATCATCCATCATCATCATCCACCATCATCCACCATCATCATCTACCATCATCAACATCCACCATCATCATCAACCACCATCATCATCCACCACCATCCTCACCCTCCATCGTCAACACCCACCATCGTCAACACCCACCATCATCAACATCCACCATCATCATCAACCACCATCATCATCCACCGCCATCATCACCCACTATCATCAACATCCATCATATCATCATCCACCATAATCAGCAGCAGCAGCAGCAACAGCACCATCATCATGATAATCATCACAGTTAACATTTACTGGGCAAATCCAATACATAGTACAATGTAGTATCTCTTATTATTATCTCGGCATTACAGATTTAAGAACTCAGGCTTAAAGAATGTACCTTGCCTACA